AGACTTGCAACTCTGGCTCCAAAAGTCTGAGCAATTGCTTAAGGGCAAAGGCTAAATTGTGGGCTCTTTGCTGAATGTCAGAATGTGCAGGCTGGCCATTCCCTGGCCCTCCCCCAGCACTAGGGTGGGAGTGTGATCTTCGGGAAGCACCCTTCTCACATTTTATAGCTCTCATCCCTTTGGCCCTTCCCTCCCAGTGGGGTTTGCTTTGGGAGGGTGCTGGCAGAATATCCAGGAGCCAACAAAGTGTGGTACGGGGATGGAGGATGATGACCTGGTGTCCACCAGGGGCTCAGGCCAGCAGAACTGAGGGCCAAGGGTGTAGAGTGCAGAGGAAGTGACAGGACACAGAGATGCAGGGTGGGGGTGGACACTCTGGGGCCTGGAAGGTGCTCGAAGACGCTCCTTGTTCTGAAAATGTAGCCTCACCCCACCTCTATTCATTGGTGCCCATTGTGCTCTGGCCACTTCCTCCCTCCTCCCTGGGTGTAATAGCGTGGACAGACCCAGAGCATGTAGCTTCTGTTTATTTCTATGTCTATAGCTATGGTTGTATCTATATATTGACACATATCTATGTCTATACACACACATATAAGAATGTTATATAAGCAGTAATATATGTAATAAAATATATATTCATTATGAGTAAACAAGCAACTTAGAGAAAACTCAAAAACTACAGAAAGAGGAGAAGAGGAGGAAGTCCCCTAACGCATCATTTGGAGAGTTGGGCAGAAGGGCTAGAAGCGTGAATATCACTTCTTCCTCTTCAAAAGCTGTCCATGAGGCTCCCACGAGGCCCTCAGTGTCATGGGCTCTGACTCAGGGATCTAGGTCAGGAGGCAGAGGGCTGAGTGGGTGGTGGCTGGGAGGGGCGGCTTTGCCCACTTGACTTGAGCAAGTTTATTTTCTCATGGCCTTTCCTGTCCAAGTATTGGGTCGTGGTGCCTTTAAAAGCATGCTGAACACAGCGCTGTTCACAGTTTCTGAAAGAAATATATTTCGTAGAAGGGCTGGGACAGGCAATCCTTGTCAATGGGTGGTTTATAATTAATCACTCCCCATTAAAAAAAAATAGTGACTCAGCTTCAAAGATTCAGAAAACCATTACTCAAGTTCCTTGGCAGAGGAGGCGACCATTATGCGGCTCCTGCAGCTCTGCTTTTGTGGAAGAGAAAGAAAGTCCTTTTATTTGCAATTTCTCTGAGCTGCCCCAATACTTTGGCCATTGTTGGGGAGCGCAGGCCCAGAACAGCCCCTGCTATTGTTCAGGCTGGTCACTACACGCGGCAAGAGCATGCGTCCGAGCTGGGGACAAGGGAAGTGACTAGAGCAACACATTTCCTGGAACTGGCAGAGGCAGAAGCAGACAAGAGAGCTCCCTCTGGCTCCAGACTCCTGTGTTCTCTCTTAGCATCTCCTGCCTGTGCCAAGCCAGTCCCTCCAATTTCTAGTGCAGGACCTGAGGGGACAGTGCCTGACCCACCGTGGGAGTTTTCAGTGTGGAGGCCCCATGTCATGGGCACCTCCTAGGTGCCATCCGTTAAACAAACATTTATTAAGCACCTACTGAGTGCCCTGGTGAGGGCCAGCAGTGCAAATGTAGTCAGGAATGGCCATGGGAGCCTGTGTCTAGCAAAGGGCAGAGCCATGAGTGAAACACAAGGAAAGGGTGAGCCATGCGACCCTTGACCCCTGCTGTGTCCCTTAGGTAGCAGTGCTCCTAGCTGCCTTGTGAATTCTGGTTTCTACTCATTTGCTGATGGAGGGGTGCTGTGAGCCTGGTGGGCGGGGCAGGGCTGCCCCCTCCACTGCTCCCTCCCCTTCCTGCCCTTCCCGGAGCAGACCATCCTACTTTGGCAGTGTCTCCAGCTGTGTTTCTCCAGTGATGGTAGTTTGTACATGAATTTAATTCCTTTTAGGTTTTATCCTTAGAGCTGCCTCAACAAGTGGAAATGGAAATGGAAAATAAAGATATTGATGTCAGTCTCCCCTGCTTTTCGAAAGTTTGCTTTAGGCCATTTTGCTTTTATGAAAGACCTACATTGGCACCTGTTTTTTGCTGAGAGATATGCAAAGAGGATTTTTGCTTTTACGACCAAAGCAAAATTAGTATTCAGTGTTTGCTTTGTAGCAGTCACTTGAGAGGCGACTGTAACCCCAGCAGCGAGAGTGGCCCGCAAGCTCCTTTCCTGGGAGCTACTTTCTACAGGCTGTGTGTTTATCACATCATCCCTGCCTTTACTGTTTGTCAGGGCTAGTTTATGTTTATGTGTTGCTTGCTATGTTTTGATAGGTTATTTTTGAGCGCTGGGAAGGTTCAAAAATATTTTCTTATAAATGATTGGTAATTGCTTCTTTGCTTTACGCCATTTTGGATTGTGAAAGGTTTCATACGTGTGCTCTACTTTTGGATATGGGGTATCCTTTCATATACTATACTTTTGTATAGTGTTTAGGCGTGTTGACATGTCTTCTAAACTTAACCTCATTCAGGCACAGATGGAAATCAATATGTGGCCTGGATGTCGCAAGTCAGAGCCTCCCCGTCACTGCTCATCAGATTAAACACATGGTGTGTGGATATGAAGGGAAAGGACACGTGTAACCAGGACCAGCAGTTCTACTCAGAGGAACTCTGGAGCTATTGCACCAAAAGCCACATGAGAGAAGGTTGATAACCATACTCCGATAAACACAACATTGGAAACAATCCAAATCTCCCTTAACAGGATGATATACAGTCATTTGTTACCTAGTGATGGGGAAACATTCTGAGAAATATGTCTGCAGGTGATTTTGTCCTTATGCAAACATCTTAGCGTGTGCCTACACGCATCTAGATGGTGGAGTCTGCTGCACACATAGGCTATGTGGTATAGCCTGGTGTGACCACTGTTTTATGTGGACTCTGTCATTGACTGAAATATCATTATGCAAAATGTGACTGTACGTTACACATGGGATAGTGCATAGCAGTGAAAATGCAAGAACTACAGCTACATGTACATAGAAACTTAGAAAGCACATCAGAAAAAACTATAGGCAAACCCTTTATAGAAAGCTCAAATATCAATTAAAGTTAAGAAAAACATAGGGATCCATGAGTAGTTTTTTTTAAAGTGAAAGATGATAAACCCAAAATGTTATACTATATAGGCAGGGAGGATGCGGGATGCAGAAGCAAAGAGGGAGTTTCAGACAATGATGTACTGGTAGTTAAGTGGTAAGAGCTTTGGTGTGTTTTATGCTTCGTAATTTCCGTGTACATACATACATTAATTTACATGTCTTTATGTTATACATTTAAAAACAATATTTGGAATGCAGGAAATATATTATTGAAGATTAAATATGAAAGGTGTACTGGAGTCAGAACTGTCCATAAATCTTTTAAGCCCTCTGGGCTCAGAAGGACCCCCAGTGGGCTTTGCTTCTGGGGACTGAGCTTTTGCTGATGTTCAGGGAACAGTGTTCTCTGTCCCATCTGCAGGAGAGAATGTGTCTTATGTCTCCTGTTCTTGGGAGCAGGGTCTTTCTCTTGCTTAGTTGTGCCCTCCTCTCTGGTGCCTGCCTCTAGGGGCCTCTTTAATTGTTTGTTGAACCCAGGACAGAGGGAGGCCTTCTTTGCCCACAGTGGGTAAAGTGAGACCAGAGGAGTCCAAAGTGTCTTCTAGACCTTGCCTGCCGACACAGTGGGATTTAATCAGTTTTCTCACCCAAAGTCCAAGGCTCTGATAGTGAAGTAAATAAACACCTTAAATGCCCGGCTGCTATGCAGCCAGCCTCAGGGCCTAGTGCCAGAGTGGAGGCACTGGCTCCCGTGGTAAAGTGAGAAGACAGCTTGATGGGGGTCTGGGTAGCCAGGTAGAAGCTTCTATGTCCTTCCTTGTTCATGTCCCTGATTCCTGGGCTGTGACTGCAGAAACAGCCCCTCTGGCTTTGGGAGTGTCCTCCTGGGAGTGATGATCCTGGGTCCCTGCTCTCTGACAGCCACCTTGGGAGGGTTGGGAGGGCGGTGAGTCTGCCAAGTGTGGGGTAGGAACTCCTTCCCAGCAAGAAGGGCTGCCAGATCAGAGATCCCACTGCTGCCATTCCTGGTGCAGAATCAAGGGTGGGAGGTGAGGTCAGGTGCTCAGGCAGGGCCGTCCTAAACCTGTGGCCAGAGGTACTGCTGTTGCTTGCTAGGATGATTATACATTTGGTTTGAAAGACCACGGGTGCTTAATATGAAAACTGGCTCCTCTCCACCCCACCCCTGCCCAACTCAGTTCTCTCAGTTGGTTGGATTAATTTAATTTATTGGTAATGTATCAGTCCAAGGTGGTTGGACTAATATATTTCTTAGAACCTATGAATCTATAACCTATACTAAAAAAAATTTCTTTTAACCTTGGACTTCATGTTATGGGTAGTGGCAGGCCCTTGAAGGGTTTCTTTTCTTTCCTTTTTTAAATATTTATTTATTTATGCATAGAAGAGCTGGGGTGCAGGCCAGAGGTGCGGTGGGAGGGGAGGGTGAGAGAATTCACCAGAGACAGAGTGGGGAGCAGAACAGGTGGATCTACTGAAATACACTGCTGAGGGGAGCGGGTGAGACAGGAAGGGCTGCTGCGCCATGTGGGTAACTCCCTTGTCGGGAATTGAACTCATGTCACAGTGGCTGGTGATAGCTTCATAGTGCTGAGACTTAACCTCTTGTGCCACCAGGGATGCCTTGAAGGGTTTCCAATTATTAAAAGAGTGGGGTGGTCAGACCCCAGCTTTAGGAGGCTCTCTGGGCAGCTGGGTGGAGCAGGGCCAAGGTTGTGGTGCAGAGACCCAAGGGAGGCCACTGTTGTAGTAATCCAGGTAATCTAGGCTGGGGTGACGGAGGCCTGGACCAGTGGAGGGACTTGAGAGATGCTGAGAGTTGAAGCCTTCTGTGGATTCCCCAGCTCAGAAACAAGTCCGTCCCCCAGTTGCTATGGGCTGACTGAGTGTCTTTCCCTCCCCAGAGGTGGCAGGTAATGTGCTGACTAGCTTGCCCGGGGGCAGTGTTACCCTGACCTGCCCAGGCGGGGACCCAGGAGACAATGCCACCATTCACTGGATGCTCAGGAGGCCGGCACCAGGCTCACACCACGGCAGAAGGGTTGGTGAGGGAAGGACGCTGCTTCTGAGGTCGGTGCAACTCAGCGACTCTGGAAACTACTCATGCTTCCTGGACGGCCATCTCGCTGGGACTGTGCGTTTGCTGGTGGAAGGTGAGTGGTGTCCTCAGAGCTCTCAATTTCTCCCAGAACAGCTCTGCGCATTCCTGAAAGATGCCCTGTCTGACCCTTCAGACTCTTGCTATTTCCTTGGTCTGAGAATTTCGGGGAAAGGCCCTTGGTGTCTGCCAGCGAGACTGGCAGAGGTCCCCACTGGGTGGAGACATCTGGCTGATGGGGATGCTGTCCAGCTGGTCTTGTTGTGCAGTGAGAGCTTGAGGCACAATGGCAGTATGTATGTGTGTGTGGGGGGAGGCTGTGAGGGGAGCAGGAACAAAGTGGCCTGGGTTTCAATCCTCCTCCCTTGAGGCTTAAATGACAGTGTGTGCTCACATACCCATGATATGGTGCTGGAAACTGCAACGCACACTAAACTCTTACCTTTTATTATTAGAATTTGCACGTTCTTAGCTCCCTGGAATCTACATAAAGATTCTATAGACCCAGATGTCCCCAATGCCAGGCCCTGTGCTGAGGCACTTTCTCCCCTGGTCTTTCTATCCTTCCAATGACCCTGTGAGGAAAAGTCTCCGTTTTCTTCTTCTTCTCCTTATATCATCATGTAATCTTACAGTAGGAAACTGAAGAGAGGCTGGGACTTGCCAAAGGCCATACAACCAGACCCGTGTGATTCCAAAGTCCCGATTTTTTTGGTTGTCCTCTCTTCCCTTTATACGAGTTTGCCTCCCGGGAGCTTCCTGCCACTTGTCCAGCTTCCCAACCCAACACGAGACCTTTGCTGTCCTTTCCTTTTGCAGATACAGTTAGGTCTGTGTGTGGCAGTTGCCCACGGTGCTCTGGGTCATGGCTGCCTCCAGGGGCTGTGTGCATGCTCTCCCCTTATGCCTGCTGTACTCTCCTTCCAGTTCCCCTTGAGGAGCCCCAGCTCTCCTGCTTCCGAAAGAGCCTCCTCAGTAACGTTGGTTGTGAGTGGAGTCCTCGAAGTCCCCCCTCCCCGATGACCAAGGCCGTGTTACTGGGGAGGAAGCTGTAAGTATCCCCTGAGCTGGGCTGTGTCTTCTCTGTCCTATTGAGACCCTGGGCGTGGGGGGAGGGGCTTTCAAAGGTGGCAAGTGGGACTGGCTGGCCAGTGATTCTGAACTTTTACCATTGGAAAGTTTCCTTTGGGGCGAGAAGGAGGAAACAAGTTGGAACAGAGACTTGCTGGACAGTGTGCTAGGAGCTGTGTCCTGCTAACTCTCCTGATAGCCATGGGAAGTGGGCACTATTCTTCTCTTTTAATAGATGGAGAAACTGAGGTTGGGAGATTGACTAACTTGTGATGGGTCATCCAGCTAGTAAGTGGTTCTGTTGGGAATCAATCTCTGTCCTCCTTCCTCCCACCCCAAGTGCCCAAGTTTGTTCAAAATACAAAGGTCTTGGAGGTAGCTCTGACGAAGATGCAGATGTCCCTGGGTCCTTCCTCTCTGACAGCCCCTCAGGAGGGGTGGGAAGACAGTGAGTCTGCCAAGTGTGGGGTAAGAACTCCTCCCCAGAAGGAAGGATTGGCAGATCAGAGATCCTGATGCTGCCACTCCTGGTGCAGAATCGCAGGTGGGAGGTGAGCCAGCTCTTTATCTGCGTCTTCACTCGGGGTGTTTGTGTGTGTGTGTGTGTGTGTGTCTGTGTGTGTGTCTGTGTGTGTCTCTGTGTGTGTATGTTCTTTTTAGACTCCATTACAAAGGCAGAGGAGAGGCAGTGGTGATAGGGTGGGAGAAGGAGCTAGGGTAGTAGGGTACGAGGTCACAGCCACCTGGCGGGGGTTCCTGTGTCTCCAGGAAACACAGCATAAAGTGGGGAACCTGCGATGAGTTCAGGCAGGTAGAAAATGCTAAAAACAAGTATACCTCTGTGGTTTTGCCTGTCTCCTTCCCAGACGTAAGGCCTTCTTAGTCCCGATATTTTCAATTTGCACTGTCAATCATTAGAACATCAAAAACCTGAGAGGCAAGTCGACAGAGTGGTTTAGTTTCCACTGTGTCTGTCTTCAGAGTTGCCTGGCAGTAATGTTTATGCTTTGGTCTCTATGCAGAAATGCGTCGATTGCCCATCTGTGGCTGACACAGCTGCCTGTAGGACGGTTAGCTTGTTCTCTCAATGGGGAAGCCCCGAGATCTCCACGACCCACATCTGGGTTTGGATAGAAATTTGGGCCTTGAGGCATTGTTCCATAGTCAGGATGTTCACAGTGGCTGGTAGCTCTTACAATCAGTCCACGGAAAGCTTATTCAGTGGAACTTGAAGTATTGATAGAATGCTTTGTGCCTTGAAAGTAAGCGTGAGAGAGGACGAGGAGCTTTAGCCCACACTTCTGCTGCCAGCAGCCTCAGGCCCTTCCATCCTCCTCCTGGTTTGTCATAATTATTGACCTTTAAAAAAGAGTCTCTACACGAGTAAAATTTGCTTCCATAAAAGGGGCATCTGGTTGTACTGAGAAAGAGGCGGGGGTAGGTGAGACAACTGTGAGAGCCTCAGGGCCAGCACACACACAGGCCCCACCCAGACCCTGGGACTGCTGGCCGGTGAAACAGGTCCCTGGAGAGAGACTTTGTGTGACCTGCTTTTTTCTCTTGGTGTGTGAACACATTCACCCCTGGTCGCCCTGCATGGACTCACCCATTCATTCCACGGGTGATTTCAGCATCTGCTGTGGCTACACTCTCCTGGGGCTGAGAGAGAATAAGTTGGGGCTCCTGCCCTTAAACTTCAGAGGTGGGCGTGCCTATAGGCCAACTCACGGCCACCTTCTCGGTGTTCAGTGTTCGGCAGTATTGCAGGCAGGCGCTCCCTCAGACTGCGAAGGGGGTGGCCCGGGATCCAAAACCCTGTCAGGGGTTAGGGATGCGTCACCCCGGCAGCAGCGCTGCCACGGCCTCACATGCCCACACATGTCCTGAGTGGGTGAAGTCTCAGGCTTCCAGGCCAGGTGGGATGGTGTCTGACTCACCTTGAATGTCTCCAGTGATGCAGAATCCTTGGCTGGGCTCATCTGCCGGAAATACCCCCTCCTCCAGCATGCTGTGTCCCTCGAGTGGCATTTCCGCTGGGTATCCTTGCTACTGAGGGCAGGTCTTTTTTGATAGTGCCTGAGGCCAGGACCTCTCTGGACTCATTTCTGATGCCCCACAGAGCTGAGCACGCAGGACCTGGCAGGACACTAACATGCACTCCTCAGCCAATACCCCAGGGCCCTTTGGTTTAGGACCTTTGACCCCGCCGTGCCAGGTGCTAAGCTAGATGTTTTACTCTCATTTTTCAGTGAGTTCTTACAAACCCCTGCGACCTGGGTGTTATTAATATTTCCATTTTCAAATGAGGTAAAGGAGCCTTGAAGATGTTGACTAATTTACTTAAAGTCACAAGAGCTAAGTGTGGGGCTGGGATTAAACCCTGGGGTCAGCCCCCCTTTTCTCCTCAGCTGAATAAGTGCAGACTGAAAGCCAGCCCTGTCCTTGTTTTGCTCTGGCAGTCAGAACAACCCACTGGAGGACTTCCAGGAGCCGTGCCAGTATTCCCAGGAGTCGCAGAAGTTCTCCTGCCAGCTGGCAGTCCCAGAGGGAGACAACTCTTTCTACATAGTGTCGCTGTGCGTCGCCAACAGTGCTGGGAGCAAGTCCAGCAGACCCCAAACATTTCAGGGTTACGGAGTCTGTAAGTAGGCTCTTCCAGCCCCTGCCCTTTTCAGCTGTTCCCTTCTCCTTTGCTTCCGCAGGCTTCTTGGAGGGGTGGAGAGGGTTTTGCTGAGCAGGTGCCTCATGGGCTTTACCAGCCAGAGGTCAGGCTGTGGCTGAGGCCAGCCCTGTCATGACGTGCAGGAGTCAGGGCCAGGGGTCCTGCGGTGGGGGCTTGCAGTCTTCACCAGCAGCCACGCTCCTTCCCCACAGTGCAGCCAGACCCACCTGTCAACATCACGGTCACTGCTGTGGACAGAAACCCCCGCTGGCTCAGAGTCACCTGGCAAGACCCCCCGTCCTGGAACTCTGATTTCTACAGGCTACAGTTTGAGCTCCGCTACCGGGCCGAACGGTCAAAGACATTCACAACATGGACGGTAAATTCTTCTTTTACTTCTGGACAGAAAAGTGCCCCAAGAAGCTCAGGGATAGGAAAAAGAGTATACTAGAAGGAAAAAAAAAATGGTTTTGGAGTTCTGCCTTGCAAAGCCTTTCCTGCATGGCCTTGGATAAGATTCTGAACTCTTCTGAGCCTCAGTTATCCCCTTGGTAAACTCGGAATAATAACGCCTGGCCAGGGCCTCCCCGGTGGCGCAGCAGTTGAGCGCTGGGTTGAGAAGCTGCCCGCAGCCTCTGCAGCGCCAGTTCGATCCCCGGCTGCTCCCCGGCCACTGGAGGAGGGTCCCACATGGCGCGCGGACCTCTCCTGCCGCCCGCTGCTCCCCTCAGCAGTGTACTTTGGTCCGTCTGCCTGCTCTGCTCCCCGCTCTGGCTCTGGTGAATTCTCTCACCCTCCCGCGCTTCTGACTGTACCCAGTGCTTGTATAAATAAATAAATAAAAATAAATCTTTAAAAAAAAAAAAATAACGCCTGGCCAGTCTCCTGTGTGCAGGCCTGTCAGTGGTGTGAGTTTGACCTGGGAAGAGGGCCTCTAAACACATGAAGGGAGTGGCTTTGGGAGTCTGTGGTGGCTGAGGGCTCAGTGGTTACCTACAGCTTGGCCGTGCAGGCCCTGAGGGCAACCCCCATCTTGCTCTGGCCCCCAGTGTGGTATGAATGTCTGGAGCACCTCTGCCCAGCTGGGTCACTGGCTAGACCTGGCACAGGTTGCAGCCAAGGGGCAGGAGGTATCCAGGGCACCCTTGTCTGCACGGAGCTGCCTAGGCCCCGCATAAGTCACTGTGCCTCCCTGCTTCAGGTCAAGGAGGCCCATAATCACTACATCATTCGAGACGCCTGGAGTGGCATGAGGCATGTGGTGCAGCTGCGAGCCCAGGAGGAGTTTGGGCATGGGCTGTGGAGCGAGTGGAGCCATGAGGTCTCCGGCATCCCTTGGACAGGTACTGTGGCGGGGCGTGGGAGGGAAGTTTCAGCTTCTCTACTCTGTAAGTTACCTATCATTATGTAACAGGTTATTCCAAGCTAGGAGTAACTACCAGCAACTATTTATGGGCTCAAGATTCAGAACATAAATCAGGTCGACAACTTTTGTGCTGGCATTGCCCGAATCACCCAGGCTTGCTGCATCAGGCCTGCGTGTCTGACATGCCTCACTCATGCACTGGCGGCTGGTGCTGGCTGGTGGCTGGGGCCCGTGTGGCAGAATTACCCTGGAGCTTCATGGGAAGAGCCATAAAGAATGTGTCGTTTTATTAAATGCACCATTATTTTGAATACTTTTTACTCTGAAAAAGATGTTAAAGGTAATAATAACTGCTTTTGGGGAATTAATGAAATCAATGTATCTGTTATAGAACATGCAAAATTCCAGAAAAATAGGGAGATAATAATTATCACCAGTATTTTACCACTGAAAGAAAACCAGTGAGAACATTCTGGTATATTTCTTTCCTTTTTCTATGGGAGTGTGTTTCTTATGAGGATTCCCATGTTATTAAATATTTCTGGGAATGTATTGTTTAGTAACTGCATGATTAATGGTTTATTTTTTTTAACCCATGGGATTTTTTTAAACTTTTTTTTTTTTTTTATCAAATTAATACATGCCCATGGCAAGGACGCAAAGAAGGGCTAATAATAACAAGCACTGTCCCTTGCTCCACCCCTTCCCATTTCTAGTCCTGCTTTTTAGGGGAAGCTACTGGACTTTCTGTTTCTAGTTCTTCTGTTGAGGCCCTTGTTAACTCCAGCAACAAGCCAGTATGGCTGGGTGTTTTTCTTTTCTGAGAAAACAGCTTGAGATATTTTGACTCCTTCCTATAAAAGATTAGGACTTAGCAGACCTAGACCCAGCGCAGGAATTTCCCTGACTTCAGCCTAGAGAGTGGTCACCCAGCTGTGCCTGAATGCTTCCAGCACAGGAGAGCTCACTGCCTCTTCTACCCCGTTTCATAGTTCCTGGCATTGTAGAATGACTACCAGGCTTGCTTCACTGTCCGCTCTCTTAGCCTACCAGCATAATTGAACCAAATTAGTTGTTTTTAAATGCCAGGCAGTTAAAACAAAAAGAAAGAAGAAAATACCCATTTATTAGGTATGTATGGATAAAAAGGAAAAGAAATGACATCAATGCCCAGGCCCAACCCTATCCCTGTCCCTTTCTCCCACTCATGGACCCAGGGAGAAGGTGTCTTTTTCAGTTGAGGTTTACAACACTGTATGTGATTCCCAGGTAGAGGTTTACACCTTTAGTGATATACATTACGCCCACCACCAAGGCGCCATTATAGTGCTCTGGGCTCCTCCCACACCCTGCTCGTCCCACTCCCCCTTCCCTCTGGTAGTCTTGATTACAGTCAGATTTCTGGAGTTTGTGATTGGCTTGGTCTTGTCTGACCCTTTGTTGTGTTTCTTTATATTCCATATAGAAGTGAAGTCATCTGGTATTTGTGTTTCTCCCCTGACTTATTTTGCTTAACGTTATCCCCTCCAGTTGCATCCATGTTGTCACAAATTGCAGGAGTGGCTTTTCTTTTTTTTAAGAGCTGAGTGGTCTGTATTTTATTTTATTTATTTTAAAAGATTTATTTATTTATTTATACAAGAACCAGGGTACAGGCCAGATGCACGGGAGGGTGAGAGGATTCACCAGAGACAGATTGCGGAGCAGAACAGGCAGACTGACGAAATACACTGCTGAGGGGAGCAGCGGGCGAGACAGGAGAGGTCTGCGGCGCATGTGGGACCTCGCTGGCCGGCCAGGAATTGAACTGGCGCTGCAGAGGCTGTGGACAGCTTCACTGCGCTGCACTCAACCGCCTGCGCCATCAGGGGAGGCCCTGGTCTATATTTTATAGCTGCGTATATATACCGCATCGCCTTAATCCACTGCTCTGTTGCTGGGTACGTGTGTTATTCCATGACTTGGCTATTATAAATATGCAGTGAATGTAGAGTGCATGTATCCTGTGAGTTGGTATATTTGCATTCTTCTGTAGATACCTAGGAGTGGGGTTGCTGGATCATATGCTAGATTTCTTTTTTTTTTTTAATAGAGGCGTGTTTGTTTGTTTATTTATTTATTTGTTTGTTTGTTTTGTTTATACATGCACTGGGTACAGTCAGAAGCGCGGGAGGGTGAGAGAATTCACCAGAGCCATAGTGGGGAGCAGAGCAGGCAGAAGGACCGAAGTACACTGCTGAGGGGAGCAGCGGGCGGCAGGAGAGGTCTGCGCGCCATGTGGGACCCTCCTCCGGTGGCCGGGGAGCAGCCGGGGATCGAACCGGCGCCGCAGAGGCTGCGGGCAGCTTCGCAACCCAGCTCTCAACCGCTGCGCCACCGGGGAGGCCCGCTAGATTTCTTTTTAATCTCTTGAGGGGAGACTAGGCTGCGCATTCCTCCCCTAGAAAGGATGCTGTGATGTAATGGCGTTTCCTCCTCCCTGATTTTGCAGAGTGGGGTCCTTGGAGATCAGAGGAGTGTGGGGTTGGGGTGCAGGGTTTCCTATTTGGATGTATAATATCAAGTGCAGGGGCAGGTTCTTGTTGACACTTTCCCCATCTGTCCATCAAGAGCAGAGGCAACTTTTTATTGGACCTTCTTTTCAAGAGCTTATTTCCTGCTAAGACCTGGATAAGAAGTTCCACTTCTTGAGGCTTAGGTCACTTAGTAAAACCATTTAAGTAAATCAGAACATACCTCCAGCTAGTTTGTGTTGACCTGTCCATGGTAGCCTTTGACTTGTATACACTTTGAGCTAAAACATTCATTATCTGCATGTCAAACACTAAAATGACCTTGGGAACCTTTGCAACACGAGAAAATGATCTACAATGTGCAGAGGAAATAGCCCAGCTACAAGCCCACACTTGTTTACCTTTTATACTAACCACTTAATTTAGATCACAGTTTAAGAAATCCTGTTTTGTTAGAAAGCTCTTTCTTTTAAAAGTTTAACTACTATAAAATATACATAATTTAAAATTACAATTTAAATCCTCTTAAGCGTACAGGTCAGTGGTATTAAGTACATTCACTTTGTGGTGCTATCATCACTACTGTTTATCTCCAGAACTCTTCCATCTTACACGTGTACCAATTAAACATGTGGCTTCCCACGTGCAGGAATTTCCCTAACTTAAGCACTGGAAGCATTCAAGAGCAGGCTGAGTGGCTTCCTACTCCCAATCCCCTCCCCAGGCCCTGGCAACCGCCGTTCTACTCTATGTCTTTATAATTTTGACAACTTTATTACCTCATAAGTGGAATCATACAGTATTTGTCTTCTTATGACTGGCTTGTTTCACTTAGCATAATGTGCTCTAGGCTTATCCATACTGTAGCAAGTGTCAGAGTTTCCTCCCTTTTTAAGGACAAATGATATTTCATCGTAGGTGTACAGCCACATGTCACTTAACTGTTTCTGCTAACAACACGACGAGGATATAATGGCTGTCCCATAGGTTGTACCATTTGGCCTAGGGTGTAGCAGGCTGCACCACCTAGGTTTGTGTGACTACACTCCATGACATTAGCACCACCGCGAATTTGCCTAATGATGCATTCCCGAGAATGTAGCCTGCCGTGATTGTATCCTGTCATAATCAATGCATGACTATACACCCCATTTTGCTGTTCCATTCACCTGTGGATGGACACTTTTGTTGCTTCCACCTTTTGACTGTTGTGAAGAACGTAGCTATGAACATGGGTGTACAAATATTTGTTTAAGTTCCAGCTCTTAATTCTTTTGAATTGTTAGAAATGGAAATTAGGTCCTATGGTAGTTCTATTTTTAATTTTTTGAGGAAATGCCATTGTGTTTTCCACAGTGGCTGCATCACTATACATTCTCATGAGCAATAAACAGGATTCTGATTTTTTTACATCCTCGTCAACACTTAAATTTTTTCTTCTTCTTTTTTTGATAATAGCCATCCTAATGGGTGTGATGTGATGTGGTTTAGTTTGCATTTCCATAGTGATTAGATTCCATAGTGAAAAGATTCCATCTTTTCTTGTGTTTATGGACCATTTGTATGTCTTTTTTTTGGAGGCTGTCTATTCAGGTAGAAAGTGATTTCTCATGTGAACCTAACCTGGCCGCACTGGGTTTTGCCTTCAGTTGGGATAACCCTTGACAAGTCTGCTAATCTGATCTCCATGACTTCTTCTGGAACTTCCAGAGGACCTGCATCTGCCTGGCTCCTCTTCCCAGGCTGTTTTCCAGCATGGCTGCAGGCTCCTCAGGTGTCTGATCACCTTCCCCTGAACGTGGCCTCATGTATGAATGTCCCTCTTTAAATTGTTGCTGTCCTTCCCAGTGGCAGATGGTGTGGCATGGCCATCTGGCCAGCTCTGGGCACAGTCTCTGACTTTCTGGCCTAAGGCTGCCCCTGTGATTGCCTGTAGTGACCATGTGAGCTCAGATAGAACATTAGACTTTGCCTCATGCAGCTGAAGAGTTTAAGTTCTCCATCTTGTGAATGTGCGGTTTGGGGGCCTTTTCAAAAGCCCAGTGGTGAATCTATTCAAGAGAGAAATTAGCTGCTCTACTCTCCACTGAGGGAAGACAATAGGACTTGGATGGTTCTGACTCAGAGGGATTTAGGTCAGCTCTTCCGGAAAATGAGAGGAAGCTTAGCAGGTTAGATGGTTATGTGGCAGCTTGGGGCATGTCAGTGTACTGGATACAATGTCAGTGGGCTTCCCAACCCCAAGGGTCTCCAGCTGTAAAAGTTCAGCCTGGTGTATGGTGGTGACAGAGGCCATGGGAAGCACGTTGGACCTGGAACAAGGCTCTTTGACCCTTATAAAGTTACCTCTCAGAGACTCAGCCTTTTGTCTGTAAAGTGCAGATGTGACCTGTCTTGTCCCTCAGAGAGTTTTTATGAGCCCAGTGAAAAACAATCCATTATAAATAACCTGTATTACAAATGT